TGTCCACCCTCTCGTGGGTTCCTACAGTATCGTTACCAGATGCATAGTTTTCTAAGGGGATATTATACACTTTGTAGGTACCTATGTCTATCTCATCGATACTTTGCGACTTCTTAAATTTGTTCGTTTTTAAATCCCTCATCATAGGAGAAAGCCGTTCCGTGCTCTTGCTGATCGAAATGACGTTTTTGGAAGGATCTGGGCGACAGTGGATATGGGAAAAGACGTTTGTGAGACTTCGGTTGGCGTTCGCGTCATGATATTCCCACGCTATTCCTGGAGCAAAGGTGCTCGTCATTTCAGAAGACTCCTTGATGTGATCTTTCCGCTCTGGCAAAGGGCTGGTGTTGGGGGTGCTTTCCAGTTTGGAGGGAAAAGCTGTCCTGTCTTCAAAAGGACTAGGGGTTCTGGTCCAATTTTGCCAAGGATTGGGAGGAGGCACTTCAGATTCATGTGTGTTTCTGAGCGTCGGCTGCTCCAGCTCCAGGGGAATGCCAACTATCCTGTCTTGCCTTATCAATGGCCGGCGCCCGTGCGCGGATGTGCTTCTTGTTTTCGTGCTCAGGAGTGGGTTGGCGTTGGGGTTCTCCACCGAGCTCTCCTCCGCCACGAAACCGGTGTTGTCATAGTGCGAGCTGTCGTTCCAGCTGTCGGCGAAGGTGTCACTTAGCGGGCGCCTGTCGGTGCGCGGCGGCAGGTTCCCCGCCGGAGCCGATTCCCGCTGGCTCAGCAATGGCTTTGTTTCAAGGGGCTGTGGGAACGACTGTGCCAGCCTGCGCAAACACAACGAAACAAGATAAAATGCCCCCTATTAGAGCACGTAAGCAGTCATCACAAAGACGTGATCATAAAGCAATTTCATACTCTGCCATCTGTATGCTCTGGCTTGCCTTGTGCCCCTAGTTTGGCACGAACGGCTGCAGCAAAAAAATGCCATTTTTTTCACGTTGGAGTACCGATTCTGTAAGTACATACGCAGAGAAACCAAGAAGTGAGTGAAAAGTCCTGGGCAGCTCAATGCCGTGTTCATATAAATCCAGCTGAACACATTTTCCTGCTTCAAAAATAATCTTCTATGAGTGCAAGGGAAGATTTTTTACACTTATTTTTTGTTGTTTTTTTTTTTTAAATAAAAATGCCAGATTCAGTTTGTGCATGTTCTCACCACACAGATTTTATGCATCTCCCGTGAGCAGGCTCCAGACATCCTTTAGTGGGGAAGAGCCTGTAGATGGAACTACATCAGGTCATTTATGGCAGGAATAGACAGTGCAGGGTGCTCCTGGTATGGTACAAGAGATTTTGCAGGTTGCCAATAGCCAGTGCAAACAACAACTTTCATAGAACTGTCTTGTTCTTGGAGGTCCAGGGCAGAGTGAAGCTCAGGACACCAACAATAAGAGACATGCTCTGCAGGCTGGGCTAAACTACAGGAGCACAGAGAGCAGAGTAATTGCACCTCAATCACGAGGGGCTTTTAATGTGTGGTTATAGCACATAGTTGAAAAAACAGCTGTAGAATTACCATCGTTTATAAAGCATGAATGAGCCAACTCTGCAGAGCCTGGGCTTCGAATAGCTATGTGCACCTCTGCCAAACTGGGGTAAAAAAAGCATTTTTTTTTTAACCGAATGCCTCAACAGATAGCAGACAATCACTTTGAGTGCCTACGGCAACGTAAGACAAAAGATGATCACACCTGTTGCCCCACAAAGAGTTATTCACTGCTTCTTTAGCCGTTGTCTGCAAGGACCCCATTTTAACATGCGCGTTGGAGGACCCTGAGGAAGCCTGGGAAGGGGAATAGTCTGAGTAAGTGCCTGAGGAAACGCTGTTATTCAGACAATGGATCTTATCTGCTTCAGACTCATCTGTCGATTCTGAAACAAAAGATAGCAAACATTTTCAGGAGGTGGCAGTTGAAAATGAAACTCCAGAAAAAAATCATTTAAAAATCGATACTAAGGCTATATCTCTACGAACACATGGGCACAAATACGCACGTAATTCATTTTAAAATCAGAGCGACATGTAGAATATGTTAAGCACCGTGTCTGTGCACATTACATATGCTTTCATCTAAAAGGTTGTAAGGCAAATTTGTACCTTTCTTATCTTTACCCAGCAGAACAAGTTTGGGTGGGTACAACGGAGTCTCTGGCATGGAAGGACGCAGTTCCCCTAGCCTCATCTCACTGGCAGGATGTCCAAAGGCATCCTGAGAAATATAATAATGGAGAGTAAACATAGGAAACAGAACCCGCTTCAAACTGCAACGAACAAACATTTCACAGCCTTCTTCTCGTGAACATGACAACGTACCAAAAACCCCACCATACGGGCAGTGTCTGATCATGCTGATTTGTCAGCTGAAAAGTCTAATTAGTCCTACAGAAATATTTGTAAAAATTATGGCGACGTGTTCATTCTGAAAATGTGGGCAAAACAGATGGAACTTGCAAGATACATCAAGGCCATGTAAACATTTTTGATGAAAAGTCAAGGTCACAAAAATGCCAGCTGCCAGTAGAAATAAATAAAAGTTTAGAATAAACAATTACTTCCTATTTCAAGAGTAAGTATTCCTCATACATTTATTCGTGGCACAAGACCTTCCACAGATCCACTGTCCCTATAGCTATATTTAATTAAAATTACTTTGTCTCCAAAGAGTTTTTTGCTAAATTAAAATAATTTGGATTTCATAAGCTTCTCATTGAGAGTTCAGCAAATCCTGACCTTCAAAGACCGTCCTGTACAACTGTTTTGCTTTCCAGTCAGCAACAGGATATATACCCAAAATAACACAAGTTAAAATTGGAAAGGAGATGTAGTCTTAGGGCATCCCAACGCCGGGAAGGATGCTTGTGGGGAGGGCTACATGAAGCACACCTTGGCTTGGAAGTGAGAGGAGGAGCCATGATTTTGTAAAGAGGATGGGAGCTGGAGAAGGAATCATGGAATCAAATCACAGAATCCTTAAGGTTGGGAAACACCTCTAAGACCATCTAGTCCAACTGTCAACCCAACACCCCCATGACCACTAAACCATGTCCCCAAGTGTCAGGTCTGCACATTTTTTGGACACCTCCAGGGATGGGGACTCCACCTCTGGCCTGGGC